CACCTTCCACAGACACGGTCCACAACTAGGAAAAGGTGGGGAGGGACTGACTGTTAGCGATCAGGTTCTTCTCATAAAAGCAGATGTTCAAATGTCAACATCTAAAGATCAGTCCTGGAAATCCCTCTTTTCTAAATCCATTATAAATAGCTACAGAGCTATATCTATTTTTAGTATCAGACACTTCATTAGCCAGATTGAGCTGTATTTACAATCACTGGTCAAATGTTCTCAATCCCAGCTACACCATCTCAATACTTTTTTAAACAGTGCTTATACCTCTACCCTCACTGAAATAGGCATGACAAGAACATGTTTTAGAAGAGACAAAATCCTAAAGTACAAGTTTTAAGGCAGGAAAATCTTATGGCTGTTTTCTTTCTAAGGTAACAGTAGTCCACAAAGACTTCACTTGGCCATTTCCCAAATCCAAAAAGCATAAAATGCTGCCAGTATTAACTAGATGTGACTAGCATACATTTTAGGAAAAAAGTTCTGTGGTCGTTCACAAATTTTAACCTCAAGTTCCAAGACCTGCTGCCCTAACAGTGGAGATCTCTGGTAGATGCCCCAGGAGGCCTAAGAGTGGTCTAGCATGAGAACAAGGCAGAAGAAAGGGCCACTGGGCAGAAGAACATCTCCCACCTGTGTTTGAATCAGGCCTTTCTTGGGTGTATTCATTTTACATGTTATTAGATAACCCATAGTAATTTCATTAGATGGAAGAATTTCAAATGTTTCAAAAAAAAATGCTGAAAACTTCTGTCCTAGACAAACTCCCTTATCAACCCATGAGGAAATCACTGAACTGGATAACCCCAAACAGCCATTCAGTCAATTCTTCCACTCCCTATTGTTTCCTCTAATAATAATCTAGGACAATTAACAAAGCAATATTGTTCTAGCAAGCCTAGAAAAATCCAATTTTCTTAAGTTATGAAATACATGACATAAAGCCTACTAACCAAAAAATCCTTTATTTTGGCAAATTTATAGACCACAAAATATGATTGTGAGCTGCTGCTGCTGGCAGGGGAGATTTAATGGTGTTACAGAGCAAATGCCAGGGCTCTGTGGAATAAAGAAAGCTATTTTCAGCTGGGTTCTCAGCCAGAAGAGTGTGAAATGCCTGCCATCACCATGACTCCTAACCACTGAACTCTCACCTCAAAGATGTAGAAACGAGAGAGCTAGAGCATGTCAATGCCCTCTAGCCAAAAACCACGAGGAGCACACCTGCAGTTGACAAGCCGGGTTTATTACAAGTTGCATGGAGACAGAATGCACACCAGAGGGAAGAACTAGCATCTCAGCAATCAAGTGTTAAGGGGGGAAAAAGAAAAGACTACTAACAGGATTTAGGATTTGGTTGGGTGACTTGGGGAAAGGGCCTAGAGAAGCAGAGATTTGTTCTCGAATGGATACTGTCAGAGAGCAGGGACAAGTCTATGACTGAATATCTCAATAATTCTTACCTATAATTGGGACAGACAAGAGCAAGAATAAAGTTGAAACTGGTAAAGAATTAGCAGTCACTCACAAATGGTAATCTTGGCAAAGAATAGGAAAAGGTCATGCTAGACAGGAACAGATATTGTTCTTGGGCACACAGGGTGAGAATTATTGTCAATTCCTTTGTGCAGATGATTTCAGAAACAAAAAGAATAATATTTTAGTTATTAAGCATGCCTATGTCCTGATCATATTCTAGACCATAACTCTGGAAATATCACTCAAGGAATTTGCCTGTCCTCTCCAATAATGTCTACGTTAAAGCACCTTTCCTATGATCATTTCACACAGTTACCTGGAAGAGGGAGACTCTACCTATTTCAGTCATGTTTCTGATGTCCAGAGGCATAAAGAGCTAAGAGTCACTTTCTGCTTTTCAAACTATCAATGGTGAAGGAACAGTTCCTTTTCTCCCCAACTGTACAATACAATGAAACTAATTACTAGAAAAATAAAATTCAAGACACAAAACCACAGCCTCATTTTTAAATTTAATTTTTATTGTATTTTTTTCCATTACCATTTAGTCCCCTATATTCCCTTCCGCCCAGCAATCACCACACTATTGTCCATGTCCATGAGTCCTTTTTCCTTTTAGCTCAATCCCTCTCCCCACTAACCACCCTGCAACTAGCTGTCACCTGTTCTCCATCTATGAATCTGTCTCTGTTTTGCTTGTTAGTTCAGTTTGTTCATTAGATTCTGCAAATGAATGAAATCATATGGTATTTGTCTTTCTCTAGCTGGCTTATTTCACTTAGCATAATGTTCTCCAGGTCCATCCACACTGTTGCAACGGGTAAAATTTTTTTCTTTTTTATGGCCAAGTAGAATTCTATCATGTAAATATCCCATAGTTGTTTCATCCACTCATCAATTGATGGACACTTGGGCTGCTTCCACGTCTTGGCAACTGTATATAATGCTGCAATGAACATAGAGGTGCTTATGTTCTTTCTAATTAGTGTTTTGGGTTCCTTTGGATATATTCCCAGAAGTGGGATCGCTGGGTCAAAAAGCAGATCCATTTTTTTGTTATTGGAACCAAAACAAATACAGTAACTGTCCAATTGCTATAAAAGTCTCTCTATATAATCTCACTTTCTGTACTGGTCAGAAACCTAAGTCAGTAGACATACTTTGAGCAGTACTTTTTTTTAAAATTAGAACATTCTGTTTAATAGAAATTAATTCTGTCTCAGAGTCTTGTCCATTTCAAAGTCACAGTGCACCAAGTCACATAACTGATCGCAATACCCCTGGCTTCTCTCCCTGCCATCATCTTCAGTTTCCCTCCACAGCTACCATGAGCTAGAAACCGGGGAAGAGGCTTCCATCCTGCACACCCTCCTAGTCAGCACTGCCTGCTACAAGCCAGACAGACCCTTTTGCTGGATCAAGCTGAAGGCCTGGGCCACTTTTCTCTGGGTTGAAACTGTCCCATTCATAAAACCTGTACAAAATACTCCTTTGAACCCCAATGTTTAAGTTAAACATGACTCAAGCATATATGCACCCAAATGTATGAATATACACATATAAACATATATATATATATTTTTAAATATTTTGATACTTAAATTCTGCAGCATATTTAACATTTTTGAGTTCCACGGGCATGGTAACCATGATTATTCCTTTCAGTATTACACAGTGCCTGGAATAGTGCTTGGCCTGTGACTGGCTCCCTGCAAAAGACTTTAAATTAATTGATGGATTATATCAACAAATGGAACAAATGGATACCTATAGTGTACACTGGTAGTGTGCTGTATGCACACATGCATGCACCTGCTGTATCTACATATATACGATGTCAACAGTGAATACCATGTCTTTAAAATGATAAATTAAACAAACCTAATAATTTCACTTGCAATTTATATCTATTTTTCTTTTTTTAGCACAAAGTGTTATTGCCCCAGATTTCTGAATCTATAATTACATAATCTTACATAATCTCACATGTACAGTAAAAATAAAACATTGCTAAATTGGGTTTGAAAATCACAGTGATAATCCATTATAAAATTTCCTTGCCTTTTGCTTTCCTTAAGCTGGTTTTTAAGCCAATATCCCAAGTTTCAAGTGGTAGCTGAGGAGATAAAAGGCACATGATATTTTTTATGCTTAAAATCTAAAAAAATTGTGCTGAGTTAAGCTTTCTAATCAATATATTTTACTTAAAAGCTTTATAAAACAGTACTTTTTCTATAATTTATTTCCACTTATATATTTGCAGTACTAAATCAAGCTCTCTCAGAGAGGACTTGAAACCTCAAAAACTTAGTTAATTCAGGTCTAGTCACCCTTTGTGTAGAATAAGAAGAATTAGAGAGACCCGTTCTGTCTTCTAACCCCAGCACATGGTCCAACTCCAAATATGAGGGTCTGGATCCCAAACTAATGGAATCCAACTTGAAGAGTCAGGCCTGCTACACATATTCTATACAGTTTTCTGTGCTGGCTTTTAAAATTTTACAGGACATCATAGGGTGGTACAAGACTAAAAAATAAAGCCTGAAATAAGGAACTCAACAGCATTTGCTAAAACATATGGTATTCTAAGTCCTCTGAGTTGGCCTTAGGCACAGAGAGGAAAACAGCAGAATATTCACAGTACTGGTGGAAGACCAGCCAAGGTAGAAAAATTATAAGCAGGAATGTAAGGAATATTTTGAGAACTCTTAGAAGCAGTGACAAAACAAAGGGAATAGCTCTGAACTCCCAAGAAACAGCAGCCTGGCAACCAGAGAAAGGAAGAATGGTTGTTCATTTTAAATAAAAACTCCAAGTCAACTGTGGATAGAAAAGGCATAAACATTGACACACTTTTCAAATAACATCTAGAGCTACAAAACAAATAAAAATACTTCACATCTGCAGAGTGTGTAAAGAAGGGTCAGTTACTATTGGGTTCAACCATCCAACTGAACAGCAGCAATATATGGGTATTTTACTTGAAGATAAAGGAAAAAATTAAACAAAGCCACCATACAGAGACAACTACATCTCGAGTTCATAAAGTTATGCTATTTGAACAAATTCTGATATAAGATCTGCTCAGTTCCCATTTTAGAATTCTGTGGGGAGGCCAAAAGAATGCTTTCAAAATACTTAAGAAGATATCAAAAGTTTCCACATAAGAAGTGTAATACTATCATTTTGGAGGAATCTAAGGTTCTTTAGAAAGTTTTCAGAACACTTTGAAAGAAATAAGAAAATAAAATTCCCCGGTGTAACACAAGTAAAAATATAAGCAAAAAGAAAACTACTAAAATAGCTGTCTTTTGTTTCTTGGAATGTTGTCTTCATGTAAAAATTAAGCCAAAGCACACATCTTTGACAGTAAAATGCTTTCTACTGCTTCTTCCTAAATTTAAAATATAATTCTGAGGCTTCTTTCCACCTCTACCTTCCAAACCATGCTGAAGCCATGCTACACTCCCACATGCCTGGGATACAAATACAAAGGGAATGAGTCTTACCAGACCATCACAGTTGTTAATGGCAACAGAGGTTCCTGGAATGTCCATGATGTCACCAACGTAAGCACAGTTAGTCTGCAAAGGCTCTGTTTTCCAGATTCTTTCAGAAGCACTTCCTGGTTGATGATCATTAACAGGGCTGGATATATTCCCAGGCACTGGAGATGTTTCATGCCATTCCACTACAGCCCCAGGAGCTATGAGCTGGGTGTTGGGCTTTAGTCGCAGATGAAAATCTCTCCCAAATGCTGTGATGTTAAAGAACAATTGCTCAGAGTTGGAAGACACGTCCCTCGTTGATCTCTTTTTGTGACTTGCAGAAAGAATGTGGGAGAGATAGTGTCCTTCTCGATTTGTGCTCACTGGAGTCACCAGCTCATACTCTTTCTTTCTCTTTATTGGTGAATCTGTGGAGTGAAAAGTAGAGTCGTAGGACCCTGTGCAACAAGAGAACACAGGAGGACCCAGCCCAGGCATAAAGTGCCCACCTCACAAGACTGTACCTCAACTTACATAATAAGTACATTTCTGAATCATCTCAAAAGTTTTACACTTTGAGAACTCAAATCATTTTTCAAATGCAACTAGGGAACTCTGTGTTCAAAGAATCTTTATTTTTTAAAAAAGTTTATTACAATGTGAACATTCATGTCTCATTTATATAGTTGAGAACATGAATAAAGTTTCCAGGAACAATACCTAGCTTGCTTATAATCAAAACATGAAACATGTTCCCGGTTAGTTATTGCTTAACAGACACCTGCTACAAACTTTTAACAAAGTTGCTATTATATAGAAGAAATTATTTTCTTATCTTTAAATTTTTTTCTTATAGAAATCCTAGAATTTACACTAATTACAATAGCTGCTTTATGTTGCACCTACCATGGCATATAATTTATACACGGTAGTTTATACACATTTTTTTTTCTATCATAACAACCCTAACAATCATACTTTACAGATGAGGAAACTGAGCCTCGGAAGGTATGTGTACACGGTCAAATAACAGTGAGGCTCGAATATGGATCCAGGTGCTACTCCAGTTCTCATATATTCATTCCGCTACATCACATCACGTCCCAAAAATCACAGGACATTTTCAGAAAATGAAGAAATGGGTAAAAAAATAAGGAACAATAATCTATAAATTGAACACACAGGTACTAGTTAGTCAAGAGCAAGTGGCACTCATTTTGCACCATATTCCTTTCACGAGACAGATACTCATTTGAATATGGAAGTGCATTTTGGATCCACCTGACAACATGGGTGGCCACTTACATGTTAAACTGAATTTCATAGTTAGAACTTAATGCCCCTAGTTTGGTCAACGTTGAGTATTATGTCTGCTAAAATGCAAGCATCCTAGGGAAAAATAATACACTGAATGAACCACTTATCCCTTAATATAAATAATTTTGAAGGCAGAAGACAGTGGATGCTGATGGAAATGAGAGGGCAACAGGACAAAGCAAGAAAGCATGGAAACTGAAATCTGCCAACATGAATTAAACAGTTCTCCACCTTCACAGTTCTAGCCTAAGACTAGTCCTGTGGTACGTTAAAGCACCCTGAAAAAATTATGATTCACAAATAAATACTCCTCACTTACAGAATCTGCTTGCTTACAATCCAAACATGTTCCCAATTAATTAGTTATTGCTTAACTAACACCTGCAACAAACTTTTAACAAAGTTGCTATTATGTACAAGAATTTCTTTTCTTATCTTTAAAAATTTTTATCTGTCATCCAATAGAGTTTGAGACCCGCAAATGAACCTACAATCTATACTCTTAAAATATCCTTATAGAATCACTATGTTTCCATTATTTTCCTGCTTTTTAAATGCCTTAAACAATGTGTAAAGTACCAGAAGACAAACAAAGGCATTTTGCAACTTGGAAATTTCTTGAGTGCATGGTTGTAATCATTATGCTGCTTATAGCGACCAATGAATTTAAACAAAACCTCTGTCTTTATTAAATGCACAGAGTAAGTAACAGAGTTGCAAATACTTATTAGGAAGAGGAAGAGTGGGGACTGTCCTGTCACAGAGACAGTGAAGCCTGACTCCAAGCCGGGAGCACAGTCACACAACAACAGCAGGGGCCCTGAGTCATAGGAGCTCCATGTCATCACCAAGGACCTGCATGAGGCATTACCATCCACACAGACGGAAAGATGGGTCTCCCTACCGCAAATCTCAGGGGAATGCTTTTGGAAATTCTGGTTTAGGGAAAGGACTCTAAACTTTAGGAAATGAACTCAAGTGTCACAGGAGTGGAAGTGAAGGAGGGGAAAGTTCCCGTAGCAAAGGATGAATCAGGATCTTGGACGTGGGCTGACTAATCTTACCCCAAATTAATTCCTGAGGATAAGAACTTCCACTCAACCTGGTATTCCCAATATACTCTAAAAGAAGATATTGTACTTTGCAGGGTCTCCTGTCAGTAGGATTTTTTAATATGTGTTCAGGTGGTAATGCAGGTAACTAAAGAACCTTTGCTTTGTCTAGGCTGCTCCACACTCTGACTTACTATCCAAGGCCCATGAGCATCTGGCTGCACCATTAATCCCAGTTATAACTCTTTCTCTAACCATCTGTTTACTGTTCCATGGGAAGGAGAAAGCAATGCTTAATTTTAATACACGGATTTCCCATCTCCACTGAAAGGAATTCACACAACCAAAGTCTAGACAATATACTGATACCTGGATTAAGTGACTGGAGGACAAGAGAATTTAAGAAGAATGCAGGGAGGCTGCACCGTGCCCAAGAGGATACCCAGAGTCTCATGCTGACAGTAAACCATGCATTCCAGATTCACTGGGACAGTTCCATTTTTCCCGTCAGACACCATGTTCTGAATTTTTATTCAAAATAAAGATGGTGTATTGCTATAGAGCTTTGTCTTCTCTAATGCTAATTAGTAAATCATTCCTAAAACGTGCACATTAAGAAACATTTCTGAAATTAAACCCCGAGTAAGTCATTTTCCAGGTGGAAATTAAGGTAATCAAGGAAAAAGATGCACTTAATAGCCTCTCAGGCTACCATCCCTGGATGATAAGTTAACAAACAAAGGAGCTACCTAGTCACCTGCCATTTATTAGCAGAATAAATACTGGGCTGTGCTTTGTGCCCAAGAATATAGCATGTCTAATTGTCGCAACAGTCACAGTGGTAGGTACTATTATCCCTAGTTTATAAATGAGAAGGCAGGGCTAGAAGGCCTGACACGCGCCAGTGAGGAGCCGAAGGAAAATTTCCATTCTGATCATGCTGAAGTTGAAGATCATGCTCCTACGCTCTTATTCACTTCAGAATAGATGGAACATCTTACTGTCAACTTGTAATTTAAAATCCAACCTGCAAAGGAAAACTACCACAAGGACGACGACACCCTGCCTCCCCATAGCCAGTCAACTGACTTTTTTCCTCCAGCGCAGTTTCAAACATTTCTTACATTCTCAGTCTTTGGGAGAAAAAAAAAAGGAGTGGTGGGTAAAGCTCACAGCTATCAAAAGTATTTCATCTCAGATAACAATCAAACAATAAAACCAAATCATATCCAATGTTAATTTGCTGCATTCAGAAATTACAGATTTCACAGGCCCAAATATTCCCGTAAAGCAATACAGCCTATGGTTAAAGAATAAACCACAGTGTCAGAAAACAGCAAGTTAACATATAAACTTGAAGAAGTTCTTTATTTTTCCTTCAGTTTCCTCATTTGTTAGCAATAATTCCAACTTCATAGGTTTGGTGAGAGGATTAAATGAGATTACACCAATATTTCAATAAGGACTAGCTATTTTAACTTACATGTAAGTTATCTACTCATTAAAATAACACCCATGTGCAATTTTAATATAGGAAACTATTCAACTGTAAGCTGAGATGGCTGAAGGGCCACAGCAATAGGTAAGTACAGGTTTTCGTGGGCCATAACTTTTGCAAGCACGGAGGGCTAGGGCCACTGTAAAGCCACACTGCGCTCACTGATTACACAGGCAGGACTCAGGGGTGGCGCACAGTCCGCCTCCCCACTGTTATCTGTGTGCTGTCGGCAATCTTACCTAAGAGCAAACGGACCACTTGCATACCACATCCTAGCCCCTCTTGCCTTTGCAAGAACAGCTTCAGCAATTGTCTTCTCTCTTTCCTCATCAATTGTCCCCATATCGCTAGATCATTCCCTCCAGCAAATAAATAAGCTGCCGTATTTCTCATCTCTAACAAAAATAAAAATACTTTTTCAACGCCACATCCTCCTCTAGCTAATCCATTGCTTCGCTCCCCTTTATAGCAAAACACTTCAAAAGCTCAACTAATAAGATGCCTCTGATTCCCCTCTTCACGTGCTTGTTCTTTCTCTAACCCACTCTAATCGGGCCCTTGGGTAGGTCATTAGTAACCCCATGTAGCTTAACCCAATGGTCAAGACTCCATTTTCATACTTGCCCTATGAGCAGCATTTGACCCAGTTTCTCTTTCCTTCCTGAAATACTTTTTTTAGCATTTAGCTTCCAGGACACCATTCTCCTCTGGTTCTCTCCTCTTCCCTCACTGGTCTCCTCTCTCACTGTCCTTCATGCTCCCTTATCCCCATCGCCCGCACAGCCTGCAGTGCCAATGACTCTTCCACATCCGCTGTCTCCAGCCTGGTGAGCTCACCCTGTCCCTGACTTTGAGCACCTTCCCGATCGTACCTCTTTGCCCAGGCTTCTCCCATGAGCTCTCCTTGTCAGTGCAGTTGCCTGTGGATCCTCTCCATGGGGACATTCCCTAGCACCTCGACGAAACATTTCCAAGAGTAAATTTTCTATCTTCCTGCTTCCAAACGGATCCCTCACCTGTGCCAGGAAATGGCCACTCTATCCTCCCAGTTACTCAGACCAAAAACTTGACTAAACCATCCTTAACCTTAACTCTTCTCACACCACACACCAAATCTCTTCACAAATTTTATCGACCTTACCTTCAAAATATCTCCAGACATTCACCACTGTTCACTACCTCCCCTGCTACTACCCTAAGCCAAACAACCATCATCTCAGTTTTGAATGAACCTCATAACCATTTTCCTTGCTTCTGCTCCTCCCTGATATCGGTTATCCTCAATAAAGAGCTACAGTAAAGTGGCAGATCATGTCATGCTTCTCCTCAAAAGCCATCCCAGAGTAAACAGCTCACAGCCTAGCACTGGGAATCCTCGCATCTCAAGGTCACTATATTTACTCTTTCCTCTGATCAGTGCCCTTCCCCGAGACAAGTCCGTGGGTCACCCCTCAGCTCCATCAGGCCTTTGCTTAACCGCGACCCTCCCAGCGAGAGGTCGGTCCTGACCACCAGTGACCACCCCATCATTATCGCCCTTTCATGTGTTGCATTTCTTCAC